CCTGTCCCTACTCCATCCACTCCTCCTCTCCTCCATCCACCCTGTCCCTCCTCCATCCACCCTTCCTCTCCTCCATCCACCCTGTCCCTCCTCCATCCACCCTTCCTCTCCTCCATCCACCCCACCTCTCCTCCATCCACCCTTCCTCTCCTCCATCCACCCCACCTCTCCTCCATCCACCCTTTCTCTCCTCCATCCACCCTACCTCTCCTCCATCCACCCTACCTCTCCTCCATTCACCCTACCTCTCCTCCATTCACCCTACCTCTCCTCCATCCACCCTACCTCTCCTTCATCAACCCTACCTCTCCTCCATCCAGCCCATCTCTCCTCCATCCACCCTACATCTCCTCCATCAACCCTACCTCTCCTCCATCCACCCCACCTCTCCTCAATCCACCCTACCTCTCCTCCATCCACCCTACGTCACCTCCATCCACTCCTCCTCTCCTCCATCCACCCTACCTCTCCTCCATTCACCCTTCCTCTCCTCCATCCACCCCACCTCTCCTCCATCCACCCTTCCTCTCCTCCATCCACCCTACCTCTCCTCCATCCACCCTACCTCTCCTCCATTCACCCTACCTCTCCTCTATTCACCCTACCTCTCCTCCATCCATCTTACCCCTCCTCCATCCACCCCACCTCTCCTCCATCCACCCTACCTCTCCTCCATCCACCCCACCTCTCCTCAATCCACCCTACCTCTCCTCCATCCACCCTACGTCACCTCCATCCACTCCTCCTCTCCTCCATCCACTCCTCCTCTCCTCCATTCACCCTACCTCTCCTCCATTCACCCTTCCTCTCCTCCATCCACCCTTCCTCTCCTCCATCCACCCTACCTCTCCTCCATCCACCCTTCCTCTCCTCCATCCACCCTGTCCCTCCTCCATCCACCCTTCCTCTCCTCCATCCATTCTACCTCTCCTCCATCCACTCTACCTCTCCTCCATCCACCCTGTCCCTCCTCCATCCACCCTTCCTCTCCTCCATCCACCCCACCTCTCCTCCATCCACCCTACTTCTCCTCCATCCACCCTTCCTCTCCTCCATCCACCCTACCCCTCCCACATCCACCCTACCCCTCCTCTATCCACCCTACAATCTCCTCCATCCACCCTACCTCTACCTGATGATGATGGGCATGCACCTGTGAGTTAATCATTTAACTCATTCACGAGTAATTTAAAGGTACATGTACTGCAACCACACATCACACGATTAAGCTTGCTTCATAACATGATATAGAACTGTTCACTAATGTGTTCAAATTTAAAACGAAACAGACTCTTACTTACGCCTTCGCTCTTCCCATGCACGTCAGCCAAAGATTCTATGGAGTCTATTCTTCGGCATTGCATGCTGTAGTATATTATTGCATGCATATGCATTGCATTGCATGGCCCCAGCATGCGGGAGCTCGCGCATGTGGCAGTCGTACTCAGATTCGTGGATGATTTTCTCCGACTCTAGATCCTATACACATGAAATGAGTGAGATCACTCACTTGACAAGTAACTTAGTATTGGAAGTTTTCGAAGAACGAGTCAATGAGTAAATATCCCACAGTTTAAAGAAAACTCAGTGATGCGTTAATGACTTGGTGTACTGACTAGGCAGTAGATTTACTCATTTAACATGATTTTCATCGAGAACATGAGCATGTTTACTCACTTTTTTCTACACCAGTTGAGAATACTCGTTCTAGTGATTTTGTTTATATAACATCGAGTAAAATGAAACTCACCAAAGGCGGTAACAAAATGTGATGCTTGGTCATGTACTCCAGTTTAGGTGTAAAAATAAATATTTTTGACTGCAATTCACCCGACTACATTATGAGTTTGTTACGGGTTTTACTCGAAACAGGGAGTTCTTGTTTTTGTGTGTACCTCTCCCACATCCACCCTACCCCTCCTCCATCCACCCTTCCTCTCCTCCATCCACCCTACCTTTCCTCCATCCATTCTACCCCTCCCACATCCACCCTACCTCTCCTCCATCCACTCCTCCTCTCCTCCATCAACCCTACCCCTCCTTCATCCACTCTACCTCTACCTCCCCTCCATCCATCCTACCCCTCCCACATCCACCCTACCCCTGCTCCATCCACCCTACGATCTCCTCCATTCACCCTACCTCTCCTCCATCCACCCTACCTCTCCCACATCCATCTTACCCCTCCTCCATCCACCCCACCTCTCCTCCATCCACCCCACCTCTCCTCAATCCACCCTACCTCTCCTCCATCCACCCTACCTCACCTCCATCCACTCCTCCTCTCCTCCATCCACCCTACCTCTCCTCCATCCACCCTACCTCTCCTCCGTCCACCCTACCTCTCCTCCATTCACCCTACCTCTCCTCCATTCACCCTACCTCTCCTCCATCCACCCTACCTCTCCTTCATCAACCCTACCTCTCCTCCATCCAGCCCACCTCTCCTCCATCCACCCTACTTCTCCTCCATCCACCCTTCCTCTCCTCCATCCACCCCACCTCTCCTCCATCCACCCTACCTCTCCTTCATCAACCCTACCTCTCCTCCATCCACGTACCCCACCTCTCCTCAATCCACCCTACCTCTCCTCCATCCACCCTACCTCACCTCCATCCACTCCTCCTCTCCTCCATCCACCCTTCCTCTCCTCCATCCACCCCACCTCTCCTACATCCATCCTTCCTCTCCTCCATCCACCCTACCTCTCCTATATCCACCCTACCTCTCCTCCATTCACCCTACCTCTCCTCCATTCACCCTACCTCTCCTCCATCCATCTTACCCCTCCTCCATCCACCCCACGTACCTCTCCTCCATCCACCCCACCTCTCCTCAATCCACCCTACCTCTCCTCCATCCACCCTACCTCACCTCCATCCACTCCTCCTCTCCTCCATCCACCCTACCTCTCCTCCATCCACCCTTCCTCTCCTCCATCCACCTCTCCTCCATCCACCCTTCCTCTCCTCCATCCACCCTACCTCTCCTCCATCCACCCTACCTCTCCTCCATTCACCCTACCTCTCCTCCATCCACCCTTCCTCTCCTCCATCCACCCTACCTCTCCTCCATCCACCCTTCCTCTCCTCCATCCACCCTACCTCTCCTTATCATCAACCCTACCTCTCCTACATCCAGCCCACCTCTCCTCCATCCACCCCACCTCTCCTCAATCCACCCTACCTCTCCTCCATCCACCCTACCTCACCTCCATCCACTCCTCCTCTCATCCATCCACCCTACCTCTCCTCCATCCACCCTTCCTCTCCTCCATCCACCCCACCTCTCCTCCATCCATCCTTCCTCTCCTCCATCCATCCCACCTCTCCTTCATCCACCCTACCTCTCCTCCATCCAGCCTACCTCTCCTTTATCCACTCTACCTCTCCTCCATCCACCCTACTTCTCTTCCATCCACCCTTCCTCTCCTCCATCCACCCTGTCCCTACTCCATCCACTCCTCCTCTCCTCCATCCACCCTGTCCCTCCTCCATCCACCCTTCCTCTCCTCCATCCACCCCACCTCTCCTACATCCAGCCCACCTCTCCTCCATCCACCCTGTCTCTCCTCCATCCACCCTTCCTCTCCTCCATCCACCTACCCCTCCTCCATCCACCCTACCTCTCCTCCATCCACCCTACCTCCCCTCCAACCACCCTACCTCTCCTCCATCCACTCTACCTCTCCTCCATCCACTCTACCTCTCCTCCATCCACCCTACCTCTCCTCCATCCACCCTACCTCTCCTCCATCCACCCTACCTCTCCTCCATCCACCCTGCCTCCCCTCCACCCACCTCACCTCTTCCACCCCTCCACCCTACCTCTACCACCCCTCTATCCTACCTCGACCTTCCCTCCACCCTACCTCGACCACCCCTCTTCCCTACCTCTACCACCCTCTACCCTACCTCTACCACTCCTCCCCTACCACCCCTCCATCCTACCTCCACCACCCCTCTACCCTACCTATACCATCCCTCCACCCTACCTCTACTACTGGTTTTACTCTGAAAATCAAAATTGACTTTCCAAAGAGGTCTAGGAGTTTAATTTCTCGTCATTTTCTCTCTTTCCTATCCACTTCCTTCTGTCTAGCTTTTCCTTTTCCTCCCTCCCTCTTTATGTGTTTACTTTCTTTTATCTATCTTTTACCCCCCCCCCCCCCCCCCCCCCCGCCTCTCTCTCAATATCTCTTTGCTCTCTCTCTCTCTCTCTCTCTGTATGCATCCTGGTATAACTCTTACGTAGAACATTATATACTATTAATACATGCATACATACATACATGGTGGGTGTTTGTACGTGGGGTGGTGTGCGTGTGTGGGTGCGTGTGTGTGTGTGTGGGTGTGTGTGTGTGTGTGTGTGTGTGTATTTAAGTTGTCACTGATAGATTGATTGATTTTTATTCGACAAGCTTCCAACAAACCTCCCCGCTCTCATTTAAAAATGCAGTTACTAAAGAACTTTTTTCCAAAATGTAATCGTCCACCCTCCCCCACCTCCAGTCAAAACTCTTCTTCGGAGTATGCAGGAGGAAAATAATCCAAGATCCAAGATCCAAGAACAAGTCAGCTTGAACAGGATGGATAACCCACGAAAGCTCGAGAGCTTATTTCCAGTGATCCAGTGGTTCCTTACAGACATGTATAAAATTATTTTAAAATAGTAATATTTACAAACAGATAAGAAAATATATCTTTATGTAAATCAATTATATCATAATTTATACTATTATTGTTAGATCTATTTGAATGTTTTATATTTGATTTATCAATAAATGCAGAAACATCTGCTATAATAAAAATAGTAATTTTAAAAAAAAGTACAAACAACGACAATGCCATTGATATTCCGCATAAAAGAACTAAAGGAATTTAGCCCAGGCCCCCCCCCCCCCCCCCGGCCCCTTGTTCAAGTTCGCCATCTTCGGCGGCTTGAAGCAAGTGTAGGAAAAGTCGGTCAGATTCAAACACGGCGACGACACCTTGTGAGTATGGCCAATTTTCGTAATTTTTTTTTAATTCGTGATAAGGATTTGTTCGCCAGTGGGATCAAAAGGTTCTAGGGCCGGATACCAAGCAATAATAACCTCGTCAGAAGCACGGGTGCATGGAAAAGTGTTTCTCAGGGGATTTTATGTTGTGAAATCTGAGACGGTGAGTGAGACTCGACTGAGAGTGAGACTGAGAGTGAGAGAGACTGAGTGAGAGGCGGGCGCCGGGGGCGGTCCGCCGGAGCGGCCCCGGGCCAGCACGGGCCAGTTGGGAGGTGAATGGTCGACAGCTTAACACAGTGATAGCATTCACACATAGCTGCATTACTATCCTGGCTGTGTAGTAAAAAAATTACATACAATTACATACAATTACATACCGTCCTGACGGTCGGGTGCGGGTGCACGCTTGTGTTATTTGTAAGTTAGCGACTGTAGGCTAGATCTAGACCCTAGATCTAAATCTTAACTTTTACAGTCGCGGTCGCCAACTGAACACACGCGCATGCCCGCACAACCGTCGGTACGGTATGCAATTGTATTGTGCTGCAGTTTGCTGTGAATCCCATGAGAAAGTGCATGTTATAAGTCTTCGTTTTTAGGAAAAATACTCTGAAAAAGATAAGAAAATTTACACAAAACAGGTAACAAAGTAACAAACATAAATTAAATCATGACCTTTATGTGGACATTTGATGAATATTTACTTAATTTTGGGTATGGTTTAATAGGGTATCTCCACGCAGGAGTTATTGGTCAAAGTTTGGATAGACTTCTGAACTAGCGTCAAAACCTGTTCTATTGTCTGGATTCTCAACATTTCAAATACCACTGTACATAACTAAACTGATTTCACTCAAAATTGGTACACTTTTTTTTAGTGACAATTGATGACACATAAAGCAGTAAACAGTACGGGCGCTGGTCCGAGAATGAGGATCGTCCTCATAAAGGCGAACAAAATGTGTCCTCACAATAAGGATCGTCTGCATTTTTCTGCGGGTTTCGAGTTACCGAACCGCCTGCTGGCGAGGCGAAAAATGGATCCGGCGTAAGAAAATAAGTTTGGAGACGGAATGGAAACATTGAGGTCACGGTGGACAATTTAATTTTTTTTAAAGATTCGCAGCCAAAGAGAGTTGTCATTTAAATAAAACGGTATGGACCCATTTTATTATATATTTCTAAATCATTTAATTAACCATTACCATTGAAATGGTGAGTGTAGGTTTTTCCTTTTTACCACAATTCTTATTTGTATTTTTATTATATTTAACTTTCCAGTTGACAAGGAAAAATAGTGGAGACAAGGGTTTTCACAAACACTAAAAATGGCACAGCAAAATCAGTTACTCTTCAATCTGAGTGTTCCCTACAACCCCATAAACATGGTTACCCAGTTCCACAATCCAGGCCCAGTTGTCATTGAGCGACTTGCTGGAGGAAAACAGACAAGACAAGATGGCACCCGTGAAAATCCAGAGGAACCAGTGCAGTTCAGTGTCGTCTCCAAAGAAAAGCTCTCTTTTGCAATGCAGCTTGCTAGGCGGGACATGAAGAACAAAATACATGAGCAAAAGCACCAGCACTACAGACAGCAACTTGAAGAGAGAGGGGAATCAGCAAAACCACCAAAGAAAGCATGCAAAAAGAAGGGTGTGAATCAGAAAGCCAGCAAATCATTTAAAAAACCAAGTAGTCCAGATTCCAAGAAGTCCAATATCAATCTCCACAGGAGGTCGGTGAAGACACAGACACCTCCTTCAAAGAGGTCTCCTCTACTGTTTCTGCAGTCATCTTCCCAGCCAGGTGATGAAAGGGAAGTGAAAGGAACACAGGTTGTCAACAAAGCAGATTCTTCGTCCAAATCCACTTCAGCTTTAAGGAGTGTCAAGTTGCAGCAGAATCAGGAGATTTCAAGACTGAACAAGGAACTCAAGACATGTGTGGAGAGAATAAATACTCTTTCCAAACAAGGTATGCTACTTGGAAATATATGTTTATTGTCTTTAGTTATTGTCATGACATGTATTTGCATAAAGTTTAGATGTACATGTAAGATGGACAATAACAAAGACATTTATTGTCAAAACTGATAAGATTAAATCTGAGTAGAAGCAGGAATGCATTAATTCACTAACTTTGCTACCCTCAGTAGTCATATGTATGCTAGGATAAGAAATTGTACTTTTCCAATTTACAAGGAAACAGATTATCTGTAAACAAGTGTGATTCATAAAGTGTGATTCAACGGTAAAGAGACCACTGCAGAAGAACAAATGGGGAACATGAAATATTACAGAAATAGGTTGATGGATTAGGGGCTCTTACTACATTTGCTCTGGCAACAATTGTTCTGGGCTTAAGGTGTTAAAGATTGAGGGTTAGGATAAGGGTTGTGACTGTAAAAATGCATGGGGTTACTTGTTAAGATTGATGAATTTTTGGGGTCTGAATCCAGAGTTAGATTTTTGGAGGGGGGGGGGGGGTGTCCTGGGTACCTGATAATGATGAGCCTTGTGTCACTGTTTTAATCCAGGGTTGAAGTGTGAACAATTTGGCTAGTGTATGGCTGTAGGATATTGTCCTAGAGTATATGTATAATTCCTAGTACAGAAGTCTCGATATGAATCTGTCAAAAGTTTGTTTTAATATTCTAGTTTCAGAACCTACAGCTGTGAATAGCTCTCCAGATAGGACAGCTACACTAAGAGCGGGATTAGAGGCGCTAATGAGAGCCGACCCAAATCAAGCTAAAAGGTCAGAGGTCATGAATCCAAGGAGACAGAGAAAGCCAGTGGAAAGAAGACGATTTCAAAGCAGTAGTGTTATTCTTCCAATGTCTATGAAATCAAGGGTGAGTTTTGAATTTCAATATACATGATTTTTATTAACATGATAATATAGAGATATCGACTGCTACGAGAGGACTTGCTGTTTTCATATGCTCCACCCAGCTGCACCTCAGGGTGATAGCAGCGGATGAAAATTTCCCTGAGAGCCAGTTTAGAAACGGCCAGTCCTCGAGTATTAAAGCAGTCGATACCGCTTTTATCTGCCGAATTCAAACAAAAATCTACCAAGAATTCTTACCTTATCCTTTTATCGAGTAAAGATTGGTTAAAACATCACAGAAAAATCTGAGAAGCTGTCTGTTTATCACCGACAAAAAATGACTGAAATTTTCGATCAGTTGGGAATCGCAGACAAAAAACACTGTATGGTGTCCGTGCTCGCTCAAAGAACATTTAACATGTAAACCAATGGGTATCGCAGCAAGATTTTATTATTTTCCTGGTAACTGGAATTTTGAGGGATTTTACTCTCGGAATATTAGTCGATTTTGGCATTTTTCGTTTCTTTACGCGAATGGCTAAAATCACGACTGCAATTTTGACCGAACAGATGGCTAGATTTCTTAAGTGAGGTATATGATGTATATTGTGTTTGGAAGGACAAGTTTTTAGTTATTTTGTTCCATAAATATCCAGCAATATCTAAGATTTCAGTAGGTGAATCTGAAGACTCTATCAAGCTTATAACCCAACTAGAGCTTGAATCAGACAAAATGGCCAATTTATGTTCACAATTACATAATACAACTCAATACCTTTCACTTGCTCTAAGAGGAATTTTGGTTTATTGTGATAAAAATTTGTGAAATGTAAAGCTTTGTCAGTGTCAGAACCTGGCAGATAAATTCAGCATTTTGTTAATATCCTTATTACTTCTTACTTATTCTCATTACATGTACATGTAGATGTATCTCATAAGGATGCAATCTCGCAATGGATTTTTTTTTTAATGAATTCTAATTAGTTTTCTTTGAATAATGGTCACTGAAAGAGAACATATATCTCACACTCTCACACTCTATATACAGTGAAGTGTTACCTCTATTCACTTTCATATCTTGGTGTGCTGCAAATGACAGAGAGAGAGAGAGAGAGAGAGAGAGATCCATCCTTTTCAGGAGAATTTGAATCAAACAAATAAACATGGCCTAAGACTGGCTTTAAGTACATAAGTATAAAGAATTCTTAAATTAATATGATAATTGTATACATTAATATCTACCCGCTTAAAAAAGCTTATTTGTCTAGATGCCATGTAGAATAACATACTGCAATAATAATAATCCTTGGTCTTTTTATTTTTCTCAAAGCAGCATCATACCAAAGAGAAACATGCACCGACAGAGGGATCCATGCACTTCACTCGCCCTACCAAGTCCTCAAAATCCAAGGGTATAGCTGCAGGAGACGTGATCAGAAAGGTGATCACCAGGACTTCACCAAGGGGAGAAGTGAAATCAGCATGGGCACCACCAGGATCCCCTCAGAGCTTTCATAAGATGGCCACCTCACGTGTGAGTAGTGATGTTGCTGACTATGAAGAGATTGAGTCTTTGGTTGTTAGTCCAGGCAGAGGAAGGACTGGTCATCTTGGAGGGAGAGGGTTACAGGAAAGAGATGAACATCATAGACATCGCATGGGAGACACAGGGGAGAAAATGACCAGAGCAAGACCAAAACATGAGCAGATTGATAGAGGTGGATCTTACGAATGGAAATCCAGCAGTGCACGCGTAGCCAGCGCAGAAAGAGCAAGAATGAAGTCTCAAGGTCAACTGAAAAGCTCAGGGGACACGGAGAGTACTTCTCATGGCAGGTATGCAAAGATTGATTATGAACCAAGGGAAGGTGATAAGAGTCGGTTGGATGAGTTCAGCAAAGAAACAGGAGGTCATAAACATACTGCCAGGAGGAAAGTCATGTTTGATCGACCGGTAGAAAGCGGTAGCTCCATTGGAACAATAGATCATGGTCACCCTGTCCAAAGTCATGGAACATCTAAGAACAGTCTTTACGCTCATAGACATGTACATACAAGGAAGCAAAATGAAGACGATGGACACAGATATACCAGTTTGTACGACAGGATTGATAGTGAACAAGAGATTGGTCAATCTGAAAAGTATGGTAGCAAAAGAAATCTTCGGATATCGTCTGATCCAACTTTAAAGGTAATTATAACTAATTAACGCATAAAATTATTTGCAAGTTGCACTACTGGCTCTACAATCTCTTGTTAATTCAGGGTCTGGATTGCTGTTCTTTTTTAGGGTTGTATGCATGAGCTCTATTTTGAACTACTGAAATGTTTGGGGTTCAGAGTAAGATTTTGGAAGCCCATGTGTCCCAGCATTGCCAGCAACCTGTAAATGTGACCCCTGGCGTTATTAGTTTCTCAAAGTGCAATAAGTGTATAAGAATTTCCCCATGGATTGCTGAATTTAATCTTGCTTTTGACAGTTTTACATGGTTCTTTATCAGTGCTCAGTCATTACTAGCCCATTATGATGACATGCACTAAATGTGAATACTGTTCTGGTAAATTTGAAAAATAAATTCTCACATAATGTGCCAAACAATTTTGTTCAAAAATGTATAGTGGCAGAGTAATGAGCATACAGTACATGTAGAAAGAAAAGGAAATCCGGGTAAGTAGGCCCAACACCATGTGCTTAACACAGGTCACTACCGGTATGTGCAAATGGGAGTTGTGGTTTTTATCAAAGATGATGCCCAGTAAGTTTTTGTGCACTTGTTTTTATTTCACTGGTTTAAACAACCAATCTACTCCAGGATAAACAATCCACAATAAATCATAGCAATTTTCTCTCAAAATACAATTCCCATACCAGAGCTCAAGATAAGCTTTAAACTATGTAAAGTAATGCCTTTCTGGCTTCAGCATGATAGGAGTAGTAGGGTACATGCTCCTGTGACAATGGCTTTGGGATTAACATCCTATACTAGACAAATTCTTAATTTTAACCTCTGACCAAACACTTAACCTAATCCTATCCCAAACCCTATCCCTAACCTTAACCCTAACTTGCAACTCTAATCCTTACCCTTCAATGAATTAAAGCCAAAAGCAACCGTTGTCACCAAGCATTTGCATGTATGTCAGACTCTGAATATTGAATCGGGTTGTTTATATCTTTGAATTCTTTTGCAATGATTTCCAGAATACGAAGGACAGGATCACAGACCTCTTAGTAGATGAGATATTAGAGGATGCGGTGCAGGAGCTGGAGAGACTAGATAACGATACCATGATAACGAGACAGGCTCAGATTATGCATGATACCCCTACTTTTGAGAACCTCCTACAAGAACTGGAATACATGGAGGCAAGTGTGCTATTTACAGAAATATTGACAAGCTGAAAATCGTAAGATTGGCAGTAACTCCAGAGATATACACTGTATGTGCCACTTTATGTGCCACTGTATGTGCCACTGTGGCAAATCTGCTATCAAACAAAAAAGCTCAAGAAGCTCTTCCCTTTGAGTGGTATATCAGTGGGTGTGACTGTGAAGTACAATTACCCATGATTTTATTCACAAACGCTTTTTTTGTGGCAAAATGTGGCAACATTTGTAGAGAAAACATCCAGTCCTTTCCATTGTGCTTGAATTGCCCAAGTACAAGTCTGTATCATTAGACATTAGCATTAGACCCTCTACCATATACTGAAGAGATATGGTAACTTGAATATGTTTTTATTTAATAAAAGTAAGTAACATGTGTTTATGTAATAGGTGGTAAAAGGTCCTGGCAGAAACATTATATCCAATGTGTTGTTTTTTATGGATAGGAACTTCATTATTTGATACCATGATTAAATGTCATCTTGCAATTCTTTCCTTGCTATCATTTGTTTAGATGGAAGAAGAGAGAATACGCCGACGATGGAAGCAAGTGAAGTACGATGACCCACAGGTCTCAAGGTCAGAAGGATGTCAAGGGTCCAAGGTACATGAGGTCTGGATGAGGGGAACCCCACTTGATGCTCAGCAAATGGAAAGGTGAGATGTCTTAAAGTGTACAGATTTCTGAAAACTGTCTTTTGATGGGAAAAAAGCAGCATGCATAAGCTCCATACGCTGACTCAACATGAAAGTTGATATAGTTTTAATATTCAGAAACGTATTTTAGTCAAAAGATAATGTAGAAGTTAACATAGGAAATAAAATTGATTTAGAAAGGTCTTTTACTAATACGTCTGTACTAATTTGGCCAGGAGGGATTACACCACCCAGAGTGGTCACTGACGGGTGGCTATCTCATCAACTTACATGTAGCTCTCAATTCACATAGGAAAAAGAGGATCATGGGGGTATTGGGGGACCAACAGGCACCGCTTAGGCATTGTTTTCTATATAGAGGGAGCAAGTAGCTACAAATAGTACAGTTGGGATTTAAGTATTATGCAAAAGCCTTGATGTGTGAAATGCAGTAGATATTTTCTTTTATGTGTTTTTCCTACTTGGTTTCTGTGAAAACTATAATATGATTCTTCAAATCTATAACTTGTCAATATAAAACAGATGTAGAAAAACTAGAAAAGAAAGGAATAAAATAACTTTGTGACCAAGACCCGGACAAAGGTAGTGTGTATGAATTGATGAAACTCAATAAAAACATGCTTAAGTTCACATTGCTGTATGCATGATCAAACAGGAACCATGATTGGGAAGGGTACATTTTAACAATGATTCTTATTAGAGAATCGATCGTGTCGGGGGTATAGCTCGCCCTTAATATAGTTTTCAGATTATATAAAGAATTTGAGATATATTAAGGTATGTTAATAACCCTGAGACTTGACATATATAGCCTTCAGAATACTGCCCCAGTCCTCTACACATGGCAATAGCAATTTTGATTAATTTGAAATTTCAATTTTTAGATCTTTTGCAATGTATTTTGAATTATAGTAATTAATGTTTTCTTTTAACCCATTTTAAAGATTACATGCTTGTTATTAAACCTGATCTGATACAGGTTTTTATACAATCTTATTCCCCTACAGGCTGAGTGATGTTCCTGGGCAACACACCGCTATATCCTTGACCAACACTGGACAGCCTGGCAACCAAGGTACCAGTAAGATCTGCATTCATCCCGTCAGACTAGATAACCCTGCTCATGATCATGATGAGAAGGACATGAGTAGCAGAGCAGGACAATCCAATCAGCCTATCCATCTAGAACCTTCTCTACCACTTAGGAATGGTCTCCTGATTCCAGATGACACTGCAAGGGACCAGCCATTGGAAGCTGTAGGAGCCAGCGTGAGAGAAGGTGGTGGGATACCAGTCTTTGTCCCTAGCGACATGATGAAGAGGGTACAGGAGAGTCGAGAGGAATTTGAAACCCATCTCAAGCGCACCTCCCATTTCGCCTATGGCACATTCAATCCTTGGAAGCTAGTTGAAAAGTAAGATTTTTGTACAGATCTTAGTCTATGATTTCATTCAAACCAAACTGATATGCTTTAATGGAAAACAACAGAAAGTAGAGAAGACTTTTCTGATGTTGCTAAAGGCATACTAATGTTATGAATTTAGCCACGATTGTGTAGCAGTAGCTGTCTGTCGCGAAGCGACAATGACCGCCTTCATTTTCACTTTACAGCTGTTCTCCATACAGCTCGCTGGCCTGCAGCAGTTGTCCAAGTCTTGATTTCAATTTGCCTCCGCTTAAGGTTCCTCTTGATCGTGTCCTTGTAGCGAAGCCGTGGATGACCAATCCCTCTTTCGCCAGCGGGTAGTTGCGAGAATAGTACTTGATTTGGTAACCTCTCAGATGGCATCCTGATGACATGGCCTGCCCATCGTAGATTCTTCCTGATGAGCAGGTCCTCCATAGAAGGAAGGTTTGCTTGCTCTAGTACCTCTTTGTTGGTCACCTTGTCCTTCCAACTGATTCTCATGATTGCTCGGAGGTGTCTCATCATGAACGCGTGAAGTTTCTTTACTTGACTTTTGTAGAGAGTCCAGCTTTCCGCACCGTATAAGAGAGTGGATAGGACAATAGCCCTGTAGATTTTGCACTTCACTCTTGTTGAGACATGATGGTTGTTCCATAGCCTGGTTCGCAGTCTTCCAAAGGCACTGCTGGCCTTTGACATTCTTTTCACCAGCTCAGAGTCGATGCGTCCGTCTTTGGATGTAGTGCTGCCGAGGTAAGTGAAGTCATCTACCTGGTTAAGGGCTGTCCCATCCACTAGGATCTCCTCCCCCTCTCGGTGGTCTGTACCTGGTTGGAATAGTACTTCAGTCTTTTTGATGTTTATTTGTAGACCGAACTTCTTTGATGCTGATGAAAATACATCTATAACATGTTGCATCTGCTCTGGTGTATGAGCAACAAGAGCACTGTCATCTGCAAAGAGGAGTTCCCTCACGAGAATCTGTGTAGACTTCGTCTTAGCTTTGAAATGTGCGACATTGAATAGGTCGGCGTCTTGACGTGATTGTATGTAAACGCCCTCCTCAAAGTCCGCAAAGGCCTCCTCCAGCATCGCCGAGAGAAAGATGGAGAACAGCGTAGGGGCCAACACACATCCTTGTTTTACACCGTTACTTACAGGGAAGCTATGGGATGTTTCGCCTGCTTCCTTGACTTTAGCCATCATACCCGTATGTAAGGACTCTACCATTCCAGTGAACTTCTCGGGACATCCATACTTTCGTAGTAGTTGCCAATGACCTGTCCTACTCACAGTGTCAAAGGCTTTCGTGAAATCGACAAAAACCACATAGAGGGATCGGTTGTGCTCAATGCATTTCTCCTGTATTTGTCTGAGGCAGAAGATCATATCTACTGTGCTCCGGTTGTTCCTAAATCTGCATTGCGTCTCCGGCGATATATCTGGTGCTATGTGGGCATTCAATCTGTTCAGAAGGATCCTGGCAAAAACTTTCCCTGCTATTGACAATAGCGATATCCCTCTGTAGTTTCCACATTGAGTTCTATCTCCCTTTTTGAAGATGGCGACAATATTAGCATCCTTCCATTCCTGAGGTACGGAGCCTTCTGCCCATGCTTGTTGTATCAGCATTAGTAAACTGTTGGTTAGTGTGGCTCCTCCGTGCTTCCATATCTCGCTTGGTATCCCATCCACTCCGGGAGCCTTGCCACCACCCAAGGAGGCAATTGCCAGGTTTAGCTCTTTTCGTGTTGGAATATCATCGAGTGCAGTAACTACAGGTCGCTGGTTGATCCTATCACGCGCTGCAGGCTCGATATCTCCTGGCTGGTTGAGTAGTGTCTCAAAATGCTCCGACCATCGTTCAAGCACCCTTTTGTTGTCTGAAAAGGTTGTGTTACCGTCCAGGGACTTGAGATGAACTGTACTCCTAGTCTGGGGGCCCCAGACTTCTTTCAGTCCAGTGTAGAAGGACTTCATGTCATTATTGTCTGCGGAGCGCTGCAGGTCCTCTGCCTTTTTCTCCCAACAGGTGGTTTTCATTTTCCGTGTGTACCTCTGCAAGTGTCTGCAGGCTTCCTTGTACGCGGTGGTGGTGGACCTGGTGCTTCTAGTCTGTAATACACGTTGGTGTGTTTCATCCCTTTTCTTCATGAGTATCAGAAGCTTGGAGTCTTCTGGGTCAAACCAGTCCTGGTGTTTTCGCTCTGGTTTACTGAGGGTGTTGCTCGCTGTGTCATATACTACTTTGCTGAGTGATGCCCAGGTCTGATCAACTGTCATTCCCTCTTGCACTCCCCAAGTCGCCAGAGCTTTCTCCATATCTTGCTCTAGCTTTAGCCGTTGTGTGTTGACGTGTAGCTGGTCTGTGTTCAGCTTTGCAAGTTTAGTAGCTCCTTGCTTCCTATGCTTTGAACGTAAAGCAAATGCAATCTTTGATCTTAGTAGCTGGTGATCGGTCAAGCAGTTAGCTCCACGCATAGTTCTTGTGATGTGAACATCCATTCTGTCTCGTTGTCTTGTTATGATGAAATCAATCAGGTGCCAATGCTTAGAGCGAGGGTGCATCCATGTGGTTTTGTGTTCTTCCCTCTGCTTGAACACGGTGTTTGTCAGTAGGAGTTCGAACTCAGAGCACAGCCCTAGAAGTAGCTCACCATTGGTGTTGCATTTACCAATTCCGTGCCTGCCTAACACTGACTGCCATTTCTCATAGTCTCGTCCTACCCGGGCATTGAAGTCTCCCATCAATATCAGCTTGTCAGTCCGGGGGGTGTCCCGCAACGTTCGTCTAAGCTGATTGTAGAAGTTCTCCTTTGTTTCATCCGGACTTGTCATGGTTGGTGCGTATACACTGATGAGAGTAGTATTTCCCTTCTTCGTCAGTGGTACCGTCTTTGTCATAATTCTATCATTCACCGCTTTAGGCATTTCTGTGAGCTTCGCTAAGATCTCTTTTCTGATGGCGAATCGTACGCCGTCCGGCTTGCCGCTCCAGAAGAATGTGTAGCCCATGTCATCGAGCCTTCCTGACTCGGAGAAACGTGTTTCACTCAGAGCAGCAATGTCAATTTTGTACTTCTCCAGCTCCATGGCTACAAGGGCAGTCCTTCTCTCTGGCCTGCCAGTTCCTTCCCGATCAAGGTGTGTCCTGACATTCCACTGTCCAAACATCATTGTAGTTATTCCGCGGGTGACATCTTTTTGTTTTTGTTGTTGTTTGCTCCTAGCATACTTGGCACTGTCGACGGAAGTCCCGATCTAACAGCGCGGTCCTTGTTAACCCGGAAGACGACCGAACCGGTATGAAGTTTCATACTGTTGCGCATAATCTAATGAAGGCTGCTTGCAAAGGTGGATAAGTACCGGTAGCTCTTGCAAGTTACTACTGGCACTCTCTCGGGGAACTGGTGGCAGTTTCACACCAGCGAGGACAAACCAGGACGGGTGTGAACCATTAGACCCTGCAGTGACTGGTCGAAGGATGTCGGGAGTTCCGTATCGTCAATCACCCTCAATGCTGTCACGGTGGCATGGTTTTCTGTTAGGGTTTGCTCCCTTAGCCTTATTTAGATTCTAAAGAGAACCTGAACCACAAGGCAGTGGTTACAACTAAGCATGGCAAAACCAATTAACATTTATTAAAAGAATGAGGCGATTACAATTACTCCTATGATAAAAGTACTAATTGAACCAACAAAATATTACCTTACTTTATTGATTATGTCTATTCGGTGCTGTGATAAAAACACTGATTATATTACAGAAACAAAGATTTTTTTCTCAAAATAAGTGCAAGAATATTAAGGAGATTAAGGGCAGATCGGATTACCTTACGATATCAAACTAATTTGATTAATAAATTCAGTAACTGATTATAATATATTATGAATCAATTGATTTGGTTGATCCAGTTCGATGGCACAAACACTACACTACTAGACAGAAATCCTAACAATTACAGAGCTTGGTCTTGTTGCTCTGTTTGCCAGCAGTTTGAGGATATGGAATCCCGCGGCACATTACTCACAAGAGCTCTAACAATCCAAGCTTTAAAAAAAAAAAAAAAAAACCTATGATAAGTAATTCTGTGCCTGTACCACCAATCTGATCGATATACGAACAATTAAATGTATTAAACAAAGAACAACAACAAAAAATCGAAACATCAACATTCACATTCAAGGAAAGGATATGACTTGTGCACTTGGCTGAAAGAGAAGTAGAAAATCCACACAGTCTCCTATTATGACGTCACAATCAGCTGAGATGAAAAGTACGCGCTGTGTACCTTAGTAATATCTACTACAGTGTATATTGATACCTGTAATCATTCAGATGGTAAAACCCCTTCAGAATCAAAAGCTTTTTGTACTTTTTTACTCTCACATATATAAACAAATATTTCAAGGTAGCTTATTGTAGGAAATCTGGTTGCAGGGAAATAATCTGACATGATCTGATTTATAAGAAGATTCAGGATTAGGAAGACGGTCTCATTAGATTAGATAGGTCACAGAGGTCAATTTCTGGAATTAAAGGTTTTTATGCCTCCGCTACAAAGTAGCCGGAGGCATTTTGTTTTCGGGTTGTTCGTCCGTACGTACGTCCCGTTCTCGTGATCACGTTATCTCAAGAACCAATTGATGGATTCCCGCCAAACTTGGGTCATGTATGTATCGTGCAGAGCCAATGAACTGATTAGATTTTGGGGTCACAAGATCCAAGGTCAAAGGTCACAGGGCTGATTATGTATGCAAAAAAAGCTTGGGATTGATGGATTCCCTCTGAACTTGGATCATGTATGTATCTTGCAGAGCCCATGAACTGATTAGATTTTGGGGTCACGAGGTCAAATGTCAAAGGATATGGGGCTCATTATGTATGCGAAAATAGCTTGTGAACGTATGATCAATAGAACCGACGGATGGATTACTATCAAACACAAAACATGTATCTTGCAGAGCCGATGAAGTGATTAGATTTTAGGTTCATGAGGTCAAAGATTGAAGGGTCAAACATGTGAAAAATAGCTTGTAATCACATTATTCTGAGAATCTTTTAGTGGATTACAATCAAACTTGAACTTTAAAAATTGCTTCTGTTTTGGTTTGTAAAATTGCTCCATGGCGGAGGCATCATTTTTGACTGCGCGCAGTCGAAGGTCCATCTAGTTTAGCCTTGCTATTGAAATATCTAAACATGGTGACGGTATTACTATAGGAAGATGATCCAATTACATTGTGGGGCTAGTAGGTCAAGATCATAGTCGTCAGTTGACTGACTATAGGCTTTTAGTTTTCATTAATAATAATAATAATAATAATACTCAGTTTTTATGTACCGTTTATTACAATTACTAAGCACTTCCAAACTTAGAGATTATTACCATGGCTTTAGCTGTGCTGCCATTACGGCGCTCTAGTATTTCAAAGAATTAATTCCTGTCAGGTACCCATTTACATCACCTGGGTTGAGTGTGGCAAATGTAGATCAATGTCTTGCCTAAGGACATTAGTGCCACGGCGGGTCTCGAACCGCGGACCTTGTGATCGACAGTCAGGCGACTTAACCACTCGACCACAGCACCTCACAAAAGATTCCATCCATTTCCTATACTGAATTTAGGGCGGAGGCATATAGGAGACGCAGTCGCATTTGTCTTGTTTATTTCTAAGCTGATCAGTGAATGTTTTTGCAAAACATGTTTTCTAGATATTGATAATAACCAATAATATGTTCACTGATTCGTTGTGTTTTACAGGATCTCAGATGAACTGGTCGATGACATTATTTCAGGTATCACAGATGAAGTGGGTGATGTTATTGGTAACTATGTTGAAACTCTCTACTCAACAGAATTTGATGTGAAGACAGATGATGCATCATTGAAAGAAAAGGCACGCAAAGCTCTCTTCACGTAAATTAACCTTTAGCCCTGTACCAGCTATCTCATCGTTAGAACCAACAAATGGACTCTTGGTGCGACACAAACTCTATATTATGATAATGGGGGGCATTTAAACTGCAAGCAAAAACCTTGGGCTTTTCTCACATTCTTGAGTTTCGTCAGAAGTTGCTAGGCAACTACCCATAAATCTGATCCCCCAAAACCCACCTCTGGAGTTTGTTTTTTAAACTCCAGCTGAAACTCCTGTTTTTTCAATGTATATAAATGTTTGCTCTCAAAACACCATTAAATTATTTAAGTTTTCGCTCACTTCCATGCTACAGCATGCAGAACAGCAACAATTAGTACATGAGTACTTCTCACCCCCAAAACCCTGAATGTTTAGACTTACAAGCAATTACTTGCGGGCTCATACTGGTTTTTCTAATAGTGTAAATCATTTTTTTGTTGCTGTGTAAATGGGCCTGATGAAGGTTGCATTTACAAAATACTTTGTATTCTCCAGAAAGAGCTTCATCCAGAGGCTCAAATGCACTGAGTACTGGTAAAGGTTATGTGGTCTAATGGATAAGTCCCAAAACTATAGATCAAAGGGTACAGGTAGAGGTGTCATAGTCGAGTGGTTCAAGCACTTGAGTTGAAATGCAGAGGTTGTGGATTCAATTCTCGAAACAGCACTAATGTCCTTTAGAAATGCATTAATCTACATACATTTGCCACTCCATACCCAGGAGAGAAATGGGGATTGGTAAGATGACGAAAGCCTTAAGTTTGTAATAATAGCCAAGTGCCGTATTGTTTATTCTAGAAAGAAAAGACCACACGACCGAGTCATACATTTTGAAAAAAAATTACATTTTATTTAGATTGTGTGTAGGAACAAATGTGAAAGATGTCTGGTAATACATCCAGTAACATTACCGATTCAGTCACTTTGAGGTCCCCATACTTATTCATCTATGTAAAGTGACTACAACTTTAAAAAGTTACTTACTTTGTGTCCGATTTCATTCAAATTTTCACGAGTTAGCTCATATGATTTTTCTGCTTTATAGTCTTGGAGATTATATTGCTTTTAAGATTGGATTTCCTTCTTTTTCTTCCTTTTTTTTGAAAATGAATCTGTGTGTTCAATTTTATGCATGTGTGGGCATACTTTCAGGTCTTACTTCAAATTTACCAAACAATAGTTTGTGTACAGCTAGAATGTATAAAAATCAACCTAAAAATCTTTATCTGGTTTTCTATGGGCTAACAAATAAGGAATATGAAGAAAATAAAGAAAAACAGCACACAGAACCCAAGTCACACTATGAATATGACTGACAAAGAAAGCGGACAAAATATACAGTTCGTCAGGTAGATAAAGGATCATCCCTTCACTGCTATAATGTACAAATGTGTAGAACAGGTGTCACTTGCATATTCACCTTTTTACATAATAGCAGTGAAGGGATGTTCATTTGTCTACCTGAGGAACTGTATATTTTGTCCGCTTTCTTTGTCGTCATGTTCATAGTGTCAGACTTGGGTCCTGTGCGAGTCCTATTATATGCAACCATGTACAAGCATGTTTAGTAGTCTACTTACAAGCTGTTTTAATGTTAAATAACAGAGTATTTAAGCTTTTACAATATCTCATTAAATAGACGTAATATTTTGAATGTACATGTAGTTTACTGGTTGTGACATGGAACCCTAACATTCAAAGCAAAATGTTTTTTGTTTTTTTTTGGTGATTTGTACACTTTAAGAATAGATATTCTATTATTTTAATGATACGTTATGACCTTACTCTGTTAAATACGTCTTTATACCACAAAACTTGTTTTAAAGTATTAGGTTTCAGACTCTCATCTGGTCTAGGTTGAATTATCTAATGAAACATTCTAGAAGTGTTGTGGCTAAGTGGATATATTGCTGGACTGGTTAGTGGTTCGAAGCCCGCTGCAGCTCTAATATCCTTTGACAAGATATTAATTTTTATTTGCCACTCTCCACCCAGGTGTAGTAACTGGGTAGCTCGTAGAAAGAAATTCATTGAATGCTTGAGCACTTTATCATTACAGTGAAAGGATACAAATCAGAAAAATAGGTTGATAGATTTAAAAATAATAATAACATGTTTAGTCACTGGGAAAGTCTCATCAGCATCAATGCAGTTCTTCGATCTGAAGGCCCTGCAAATAGTAAGAAAGTTATGAAAGCAGACATCACTGCATATAAATCTTTGTGAATTTCAATAAGGGATAAAATATGTTATTTTTAATGCACCACTTCCACTTAAAATCAATTGTTCAAGGCACACTGGTGAAGAGAAGGAAAAAATCACATAAATCACATGCTAAAAGCATCAGCATTATAAAACAAAAACAAGTAAACAAACACAGGCGTTTATGTCCTCTAATAAAGGGTTATTCTACTCAGCAGTAAAATCTAGAGATATATATGATTTGGGAATATTGTGTGTAGGAGATAGTGGAAGTTGCCTGGCATTATATTTACATCACAGATGACTAGTTTTGCAAAAATTGAAATCAATCTGAAAGGAAAAATTGGGTTGCATTATACTATCTTCGTAATACAATTTCCAATTTCCAATGCATTAAAATGATGCTCTTTTGTTTTATATAATTATAGCCATTTAATTTCAGGCGTGCATTTTGTCTTTTTCTTTAAAAAAGTACATATATATATGTATATATATTGACACTGATTAATAATACCTGTACAATCAAATATACATGTATTTACTAAACTTTCTGTGCCGGTGTGTGGTTCTTGATTTTTAATGATAGAGTTCACCCTTGTTCAAAGTGTGGTAAAATCTACATCAAACTTATTTCAGCTTAAAGAGAGAGAGAGAGAGAGAGAGAGAGAGACACCTCCCCTGTTATATGTGTACATGGGAGAGAGAGAGAGAGAGATAGAGAGGGGAGGGGGGAGCTTTCTTCCTGTTTGAGTGTAAAAAGAAGAGAGAGGGGGGAGGGGGAGCTGATATAATATTTCTTTTTGAAAAGCAATGTTTCCATGCATGGGGTATAATGTATTATGTTCAATGAACACAGTAATCTCGGTAATATATCGGAATTTCCCCTCTTCCTTTTTTTAATAATTATCCTATTGTTGAATAATGTCGGTAGGTCTTTTTGCAGTTCTCTCAATTGATGTGAATCGAATATTACGATCATGCGAATGAATACCTTTATTCAGGAGGATTACAGGTTCTGTGGTGATCAGCTATTGCTGAATGGTTTAATGGTATGATATTATTCACCCCATGCCAAGCTGACGCGAAACCAGGAGGGGTAAATCGTTTTGTCTGCAAAGAATGGATTGTCTTGATCACTGCCAGATAATAATTTCTAATAATAAAATAGTCATTCATAGATTTCTGAACAATCGATCTCTCAGTACACGTCTGTGGGAGGTGTCTGGACAGGTAATAACATTTGGATGCATCGTATAGTGATGATCGTTCATATTTATCCAGGGCCTAATTATTTAAACCATATGATTGTTTACACACAGGGAGAATTGTTTACATGTATTGTTGACATTCAATCTTTTTTTTAAACATAATTATTATCAATGCAGAGGCGTTGACCTAGGGCCATCAGGGTAGTTACCCCCTCTAAAAGAATACCAGATTGGCTGTTAATATCTTTCATCATACAATACATGCTTTGGTGATGCCCCTCCCCATTGTAATAGTGGATCGACCTAAGTGCTTCATCGTCATGTCGTGAAGTTTTCATTTCACATGCATCAACCATCTCTTTGCATCAACTGTCATCATCATTCAAAATCAAAACCGTGACCCACAAATCTGTACCCGGTACCCACGGCACGCGCGCCCTTACTTTGATCTGGTTGACTTTACATTTTCATGCAGCAGTGGGATAATTGAGCAGTCTCATTCTGCATTGGTATATAGAGGGTCTACTATCTCCAATTAGAGTAACCAGATACAGCAGCGTTTACACCGAGCTGTCATTTGATTACCCCAATGTGATCATTTCTGGATAATGTGGTGCTTATCGCCGATAGTAGATTAATCAGTATCAGTATGACATATGACCTTTGTCCGATAATTAACATAACTGGAAAATAGATATACTGTTTTGCTGATTGGATGCAGTAATCGATCTCATTGACAATCTGTAGTGGTTTGGACTTTGTCTGTCTCGAGCTCCCGATGCACATTATTCAAGCAAGCATTGTCCGAATGTATAGCCGCAATGGCTGAAAACGAGTTATTGGCTTCATCACAGAACCTGTCGTGTCCTTTGTGCTTGGAAGTGTTCAAGGATGCAACTCTTCTAATTTGTGGACACACCTTCTGTCGCAAATGTCTTCAGAACTATGACGAGACCCACAGCGAACTTCCTGACATGGTTTGTCCCCTCTGCAGATTGCCGACTAAACTGGAGGAGGATCGTGTGTCTGGGCTCCCCGCTAATGTTACTGTCAATGGACTGGTGGAGGAATGTCGTATCCCTAATGAGGGTCATGGATCTCTTGAAGATGTTTTCAAGTGCACAGCCTGTGAATTTGGAAAGGATGCAGTTTCCTTTTGCATCTCTTGCAGTCATTACATGTGCGAGGACTGTCATGGCGGTCACTGCAAGTTAATAACATCATTTTTCAAGGGTCACCAGGTAGTTTCTTTGGATGATGTGAAGGAGAAGAATATCAGCATTGATGACTTGTCCTACAAATGCTCCGTGCACAAGCGAGATGACAAAGATTTATTTTGCGAGGACTGTAAGATGTTTATCTGCTATAAGTGTACGATCGTAGGTCATCGTGGCCACATCATCAAGAACCAACCCGACGTTGAGAATGAGCTGAAGGGTACAGTAGACCGTCTTATCACACGCTGTGATTCTAACATAGCATCACTGAAGCTAAATATTGAAGTCATTGAAACCAAGAAGGAAGGAGTTCTTGATGCTGCCCAGAAGCTACGGGCTGATGTCATGGAGGCAGTTCATGGGAAGGTTAACCAGCTACAAGAGGATGAGCGTATGCTTCTTGGACAAATTGATGCATTGCAGGAGCGGTGTGACGGCGACCTAGATGCCTTAAGGGAGTATGACCTACAGAGGCTCAACTGCATCTCCCGGTCAATGACCATGATGCAGGACAGCATCAAGACGCACCATCTTGAGATGGATAAATTAGCGGCACACTCCAGTATATGCGAGGAACTGGACAATCTTCTGCTCGAGCCCCTTGACGACACGTCTGCAACGGATATAGTGGAGAGCGTGCAAGAAGTGAGATTTCTTCCTACCGATGATATGCATCAAGAAATCGGGCAGTTCTCAAATCCGTCTTGCAGAGTCCTCAGTAAATTCGAGCTACCCAAACAGATACAAGGAATGGTCAAGAAAACCATCAACAGCGTTGTTATTGCCCAATACGGTGGACAGAGTGTCATCAGCATTGATTCCAATGGCGAGAAGCAGGACATGCAGAAGTTACCGTCTATGTTCTATTACGACATTGCCTTTCAAAGCAGGTCCAAGATGGTGGTATCTTCTAATTCCTACTATGAAATCCATGTGCATGCCAAGGATGGATCTCGCTTAGCAACGATGGAGATACCACGGGGTGGCGACTATCCCAGGGTGAGCATAGGTCCCTCAGATGAGATCCTGGTCGCTAATAAGTCAAACCAGGTCTTCATCTATGAGTCAAGTGGTCAAACCCTGACGCACACCGTACCGACTGCCAGCGCACCGAAGCAAGCTTTTGCTACCATGTCAGGTGCCATCGTCACGAGTTCTTGTGATGCCAACCCTAGTGTGGTACAGGTCTACGACAGGGATGGTAGGGCAGGAGAAGCCATTCGAGCTAGCCAAGGCGAATACCTCTACCCTGCTGTGGATAGTAAGGACAGAGTCTTCATTGCAAGAGTCAAGAAGGGCAGAGTTCAGATCGCACTCTACGAACTGGAAGGCCTTGATCTAAGGAAGAAAGCACAGTTTGAAGAACAGAAAGTAGCCACTGGTAGCAACGCATGTTATTTGGTTTGCCTGTCTCGTAGCATGCTTGCATTAGCCAGTGGATGTTGGCTTTACTTTGTCAAGGTTCCCTACATCTAAACTGCAAATCACTTTTGTATTGTACTGGTTGGTTAGGAGACTTAATATAAGGCAGATGGGGCTTGAGGGGTATGGTGATGTAACACCCATGTCGGCAAATTTCAAAACCAGAGAGCCCCAATAGCACCCCACCTGTTTTGATTAGAAAAGTATTGGCCGACTTATCTGCAAATTCGATCTATTTGACACCAGTTAACAGGGTTAATGGCATCACCCCAGTCTTGTTCTAGCATTTCCCCGTCTATTTCGTATTTCGGTATGTGATACATGTATCAGCTAAAATAATATTATTTCAATACAGTACGATCAAAATATAGTATTTCTGTTTATTTTATAGAGCTAATTGCCTGTTAGAGCTTGAATCAGAGGAAAACTACTCGTTTGGTGTAAATTATTGTTCAGTTTCTATGATTCTTGGTAATGGACGGGACACTGGCGAAAGGAAGTTCCTTTGACTTTGCCATGTATAGTTAATTATGTAGTTAACTTTTTAAGAATCGTTTAAGCAGATTTTTCCTCATGCATGTGAATATTATACACAAGTGACGCTTGGAGTTGTAAATGCCTTGTTTAGTTAATGTATGATTCGATTTACATCCGATTTGATAACATTTGCCCCCAAAACATGCAATCTGTGTGTAGAATATTCAATTATTGTTGAAGACGATGAATATGCAATTTTGTTAATGCAGTCAAGTGGTGTAGCTAGTACATGTAAATCAAAATATGACATTGCGTTTTGAGTACCTTGATTTTTATAATGTCTCGTAAAACTTTCTGTGTGATCCCTATAAAACCATGGTAACCATGTTTTTTTTGTCCAAATTAACATCCACCGTGGTAACCATCGTATCAAACATTGATTTGTCATTGAATTTCATTGTTTGATACCATGGTTACCATGGTGAATGGTAATTTGGACAAAAAAACCATGGTTACCATTGTTCTTTTTTATAAGGGATAAATATTGTTCTGAAACAAAATTCTTGTTATAATGTCTAACCATAATTATATGGGTGAGCGCAGTCTCGTGTATTATAGTATTCAGAACAGGCAAGAAACTACATGTACATGACTAGCAGGTAATTTTATATGGTACGTGAAGATTATGACAGCCCCCCCCCCCCAAAAAAAAAAAAAAAATAATAATAATAATAATAATAATGATAATAATAATAATTTAAAAAAAATAAAAAAATAAATAAATAAATAAATAAATAAAATAAAATAAATAAAAAATAAATAAAAAATAAATAAATAAATTTTTAGAAAAAATAATAATAATAATAAAAAAAAAATAATAATAATAATATAAAAAAAATTAATAAAAAAAAAAGATATATGTATATATATGTAATGTGCTTTTGCGTGATGTGTAATGTGTAATGTGCTTTTGCGTGATGGAGGCTGCAAAAGCACATAACAAACTTAATGTTTTTAAAGTATATAGTTGAGAAATTAAATGACATAGCTAGTAGAAGTATTACTGATTAGTGGGTTTTTTAAATTGAAAGTTGCAACTATAAAATTTCTTCGGATTCCATGATTTTGTCTCCATTCGCTTTGCAGTTTTAAACTAAATTAGTAGGCCTATATAAATACACTTAGATCATAGTGGTAGTACATGTAGTTATGTAAAGAAAGAAGACTCTGTAATTTGAATTTATATTAACTTTAAGATATGATATGCAATTCAATTGCTTAAATTCATATCGACACGTGTATTATTTCTACAAGAATATTTTGTGTAAAATGTTATCCTATACATATATCTTTTCACTGCCAAAAGGGCGTTTACTCTGTGTTAAAGTATATAAATTAATATCCTTCAGGATCCAAACAGACTTAATGTAAAGTTTCTAACCGTAAAATTCGATACAATTCAGCCCGAAGCTGCGATGCAAATTATCATAGTAAAAATTTAATATCTACATAACAGAGTTGGGAACAATTTATGATAGTGCCATTTTGATAAGGTTGTACCGTACACGTACGCACGTACGCTCCTGTGACAATTGCTCGGCGTCAGTTTCCTACACTAACCGAGTTAAGGGCAAGTCCACTCATTTATTCAATTCAATTCAATTCATTTATTTTTTCCTCTTTCAATCGTTCATATTTACAATGATGGTATATTTTAACATATTCACATATTTATATACATATAGATCAATTTGCACAATACAATACATTAAAAAATAAACATGAAATTGAAAGGGAAGGAGGGCCGACTAAAAAGCAGAGCTTGTAGGGTGTAAGCCCCCCTGTAAAAGTAATTATCATGAATTATCATTTTATGAGAAAACAAAACAAAAACAACAATAATAACAGTAACTGATTCAGTAATACAAAAAAAAAATAATAACTTTTAAACGCAAAACATTGATGTTTATAAAGAGAAATAATCAAAGTTGCATAAAGTCACACTACAAATTATATTTGATTGGGGAATGCAATAGCCTAGTAACTATTCAGAAGAAAGCTTTTAAGTCTCCTTTTGAAAATTTGTATCGAATTACACTGTATAATATCATTTGAAAGAGAATTCCACAGTTTTGGACCTGTAAAAACAAATGTCTTTTGTGCAAAAGATGTTCTATTTAATGGTAAATGAAAAGAGCTCGCCTGGCGAGTGAGGTAACTATGAATCGAATCATTTCTTACGAACATATCATTAAAAGGCAAAGGTAATTGTTTAGTGTTGAGCTTGTACATTAACTGTCCAAGCTGAAAAATATACAAGTCTTTAATTTTCAAAATGTTATTATTCAGAAAAAGATTATTCGTGTGTGCCCGGAAATCTGCATTATTAATAATACGAATCGCTCTTTTTTGTAATATAAAGAGTCTATTAATTTGGGAAGTTGCTGCATTGCCCCAGGCAATAAGTCCGTAATTCAAGTAAGGAAGAATAAGCGTAGAATACAAGGATAACATAATATAATGGGGTAGGAAGTGTCTTAATTTACTAAGGATACCAGTGTTGCGAGCAATGATTTTGCAGATATTGTCAGTGTGCGCTTTCCAAGATAGTTTTTCATCAATAACTAGCCCCAAAAATTTAGTTGTTCGGGCCCTTTGAATGACAGTACCATCAAAATTATACAATTAGGCAAAGTTGCAACCTTATTACTAAATAGCATGTAACTAGTTTTGTCTAAGTTAAGTGACAGTTTGTTTGCTTTTATCCAATTTGCCACATTTTTAAGTTCGTTATTTAGTATTTGCGTCAATTGCTCTGGATCGCGATGTGACAAAAAAATATTTGAGTCGTCAGCAAAAAGTATAAATTGAAGCAGACAAGATGACCTCTCGATGTCGTTTATATAAATAATAAACAAAAGTGGGCCAAGAATACTTCCTTGCGGAACTCCGCAAAGGACAGGTTTACTTTCAGAGAAATTACCATTCAGCGAAACAAACTGGGAGCGCCCTTTAAGATAATTCTTGAACCACGTCAACGGTTTTCCCCTAATTCCATAGTGAGAAAGTTTGTAAAGAAGTACATCATGATCAACAGTATCAAATGCTTTAGAAAAATCTATGAACAAACCAACCGTATTAGAAGACTGATCAATAGCTTTGGCAACCGTTTGAACTAAAGAAAGTATGGCATGGGTAGTGCTACTCTTTTCTCGGAAGCCAAATTGAGTATCAGAGAGGATGTTGTGCTTTTTAAAGAAACTCATGGTCCGTATGTGGACCAACTTTTCAAGGATTTTAGACAAGGTTGTAAGCAATGAGATTGGTCTATAATTACTTGTTAATGTACTGTCACCCTTTTTGAAAATTGGGATTATTTTCGAAATTTTCATTGATTCTGGAATATGTCCAGATAATAATGACAAATTAAATATATAAACGAGAGGATCAACAATATAATTCATAGTTTTCTGTAAAAGGTTGTTATCAATTTCATCAAATCCTGCACTCTTATTTATTTTTAGGCCAGATATAATCTTAATTATCTCTTGTGGGTACGTAGGAGAGAAAAATATAGAACTTTCATTTCTCTCCCCCAAATAGTGGTGAAATGAACGGTACGTGGATGGTATGTGCCTAGCAAGATTAAAACCAACTTGAGAAAAATAATTGTTGAAAATATCTGCCAACTGAACTTCATCTTCAACTATTGCATCATTATGTCTAAGCTTAGTAATCTTAGAATGCTTTGATCCATTGTTGATGGTAGAATTGATGATCTTCCATGTTCTTTTAAGATCATTTTTGCAACGATTGAATTGATCATGATAATAATCTTTTTTAGCAGTACGTATCACTCCTGTAAGTTTATTCTTATAATTAGTATACTGGATCCGTGTTTGATCAGTTAATTTAGATATATATTTATAGTATAATTTATTTTTTCGATTTATTGAACGTAGAATCGAATTCGTTATCCAAGGTAGTCTGGGTGACTTCTTATAATTTTTAGACTTGGGTTTAGAAAAAGGAATATTTCGATTTACATGAGACATAAAAATTCCAATAAAGATTTCATACGACTGGTTAACATCATCTGTATTAAATACGTCATCCCAAGATTCTTCTTCTAGGCTTAGTTTCAATCCACATAGGTTTTCGTCATTATATACACGTCTTTTAGGTGCATCACTAGAAGAGTTATTTGCCTGAAATCGTTCTGAATAATACATGAAAATCGGAAATGATCAGAAATATCTGACAGAACTATGCCAGCTTTAAATTCAGAGCGTACATTTGAAAAAAAGTTGTCAATAAGAGTTGCCGAAGTATTGGTTATTCTAGTGGGTCTAGAAATAAGTGGCAAGAAAGAGGCAGAGAGGAATGTCTCTAAAAAATCATGTGCATGAATATTAGCATCACTCGTTAAGAGATCATAGTTGAAATCTCCCATTATGATACACTTTTTGTTTTGAACGGAGTGATAGTGTAATAAATTATTCAAAGTGTCCAGAAAATCAGCATGGTTGCTCTGAGGTGGCTTATAAACAACTCCCAAGATAGTTTTTCTTCTATTGCGATCAGTAATTTCAATAAACAAAGTTTCTGCAATTTCATTCATCACTTTCATGTCTTCGATTACAACATATTCAAATTGACTTGGCACAAAGAATGCAACACCACCACCTATTTTGTTTGTACGATTATTTGTAAGTATATCATATCCAGGGAGAGAAAACAGTGTATTATTTTGATCTGAAAGCCACGTCTCAGTTACGCCTAATACTGTATTTTTGGGAACTCCTGTGTTATCTATAAACGAACGAAACTGTTCATAATTCTTGTTGAGACTTCTAACATTAAGATGTAATATAGACAAGCAAGAATCAGTTATACTTTTGAAAATATTTTTGGCCGAGGACTCAGTATAATAGTTTGAGGAAATGAGACCCGAAGCATTATCATTTGGATCCAATCCACATTTCAATTCATCATTATTAGCACATAATATATCCTGTGTGACATTATCAGAATCACTGGAAATGTTCGTCATCGTGTCAAAGTCAATCATTATTTACAGATAAAATTATGAATGTACAACAAGGCAGAAGCATACTAGGCCCTACTTAATTTGTTGAGATCCTCTTCTCGATGGATGGCTATCGGTGGCATATTGGGGTTCTTCCTCACCAGGATGGTGCCATTTACAGTCCACAGGAATTTCCAGCCAAAAAATAACTTACTTTTAATAGAAGCAGACAAATCACACAAACCAATCAAAAGAAGTTTGAGCAAGATCGGATAACTAATAAGAAAGTTATGAATTTTTAATGACATGAAAAAACTTTGAAACTCCCAAGACAAATTGGCAACTCACTTATGAGTCTGTGACGTCATTGCCTCACTATCCACTAATATTATATTGATAATATAAATTTCCCATTTCCCCCTTAGGAATCTCTTTTCCTCACACCAGCATCCAAATTATATTGATAGTAATACAGGCGGGGATCCAGGATTTTCCAATAGAAGGGGGGGGGGGGGCCGAAAATTTAAAAATTGCGCAGACCGTTTTTGTCTCGCCTGCGTAGCAAAAAAGCGAGACATAGGCGCCACTTTTCCGGTGACGGCGGCGACGGCGACGGCGGCGTCAACATCAAAAACTTAACCTAAGGTTAAGTTTTTG